CGGCTCGGCTGAAGCCAAGACTCGATGGCATTCCAAGCTGGCTAGCGTGGTGCAGGCAAGGGACAATGCCTGCCTGAATGTGCTCAACGATCGGGTCCCACATGGCTCAAGCTTAGACGGTCTTCATAGCTTTGCGCGCGCTACGTAGGTCCAATACACTCACGTGAACGCGCGCTCAGGTGTCAACTAAGGCTATGTCTACAAGACCTCCCTCCATCATGTCGCAATGTCACTATATTCCTTACGATAGCGTCGCACAAGACTCCATCTACGTATACACCGAGCAGCTTCGGTAACGCTCCAGAACACAGCATTGAATCCATTCATTACACGGTAATTAGAAGGGGTGCACATCCTCCAAGCTAGTTCGGTCTAGGGCGGTCTTCTTCGTTGCGGTGGACTCTGGCCGTTCCATGAACTCTGTTCAGACAGGTGGTGCGACGGTTCTCTCACAAGATAGTCTCGTAACCCTGCAAACCGACTCTATCCATGAGCTACGGCTCGAATGGTCTGCGCTTGATTGTGCCTTATTAAACAGGAAGTCGTATCTATCGGAACCAGCGTGCTGCCGAACGAACATGATGTGTGAGGACATCAAGACGAGATATAGTTTGCGGTCAATCTCAAATACTCCAAAGGTCTGCGCCTCATAACGATGCTCCTCAGGGCGCCTCATGAGAGCCTGACGGATACACGGCTCTTGACGTATCTTACCATCGCTTTGTTTCTTTGCAATTCTGGATTACGCTTCACCACAATGACCCTTTTTTGAGCCGACTTCTCTTGGGCATGAGGCCTAAACAAAGGATTGACGTCCAAACCTGGGTCTGGGAGGCTGTGTGCTTTTCAAAGGCGACGGAACTCAATAAGGCGCTACTTAACTTAACGTTACATCACTCAAGCAGTATGGGCTGTGGGCGATTCGTCGTGGCGGGCTCGTCGATTCTCGCCTGTCTCCATTGTAAGTACATCACGGATACGATACCGATCGCATATCGTCTTGAGATCACAGGATTGCGTCGAGTCTTGCAGGCTGGGAACGACCCGAGGATTCATGTTCGATCAGCCGGCACATCACTGCGCCACTTGCACTGCCCCGCTATGCGGTGAACATGCTGACCATCACAAAGCGCGAATGCTCGCTACCTACACGACGATAGACCAATAGAACGGCCACGAGCCCGGCACGTAAGATATATTCCGTCGAGAAACATCCCAGCACGCAGAATACAGTGAGCAGTCACGGCCATTGTTGCCAGCAGGATTGCGGTTACCGTTCCCACGCGTCGGATTCCAATACCAGACGGTCAGAAACGCGAGCACCGGTCTAAACTCACCACTGTATCAGGCATAGAGCACTACAACACACCATCGGTGACATACTAATTTCGATGAAGAAGCGAGGGGTCTTTCAAAGGCCAGAACACCATCCAGCGTGCGAAACGCCGTACCAACCAGCGCGCGCAGTGAGCCATAACAGATACAACCGCAGTTCCACACAAAAGTCGAGCGGTCGATGGGAAGAATGCTATTGGACCAAAGCAAACATGAACTCCACACAGTGTCTAAGTTCCGGCGGTTCTCCCCTCCACAACATATGCACAGGCCTCGCTGTATAACACTGCAACGGAGTAACTCGCCTTCAGTCGCTTAATACGAGGACGTGCCGTTAGTTCGAGTCATTACTGAAGTAAACAACTCGTCCCTATCGGCGCCTATCCATCTCATCACTGGCGCTCGCTCACACCACTCCGCTCTCCCACGTCTTCCCTCATTGGTAAGATGGCGTTCTGATTACTCAGTCGCGAACCAGGTTATCAACCAACTACCCTACTGTCATTGCCAGGAGCGTCCAACTCCAACTGTCATCGCGAGCGCAGCGACGTGGCAATCTCATCGCCGTAGCATGATGGCTTCACCAGACTGTGTATCTCCACCTCAAGGAGATTACCAACGTCGCTCCGCTCCTCGCAATGACGGATTAAAGTGGGTACGCGTGAAGAGAGGGTTTCAGTTTGTACTAGTGTCATTTGGCCTATGAAGGGAAAATGATATTTAGTATCACACGTATTGAAGAGTCCAATAATAGTTACAAAAAGTGCTCTATCGGATTATTGAGGGGAAAAAGAAGATAAGCGCTTAGCGGCCAGAACGTAGGTGAACACAATGTGCGGCCATTGACAAAGGCATACAATAAGCAATTCGGGTGGATTAGGCAAGCGCAGAGAGCTATGAAAGACACAAGATTGACTCAATAAGGGAGCCTAATATTAAGGGAGAGGGAGATACACGGCCGCGGGGTGGTAAAGCCAAATAAGTGCTATAATAGGAAAAGGAGCTGGTGAGGAGGGACCTGAAAGGGGGGAGAGAGTCGACGAATAATCTTGCACAATGCAAGAGAAATCACAATACGATGAGATAGCGATGTGTGAACGACCGATGTTTTAGATGTGTATGGAAGCTCGAGCGATACGAAACAACTAAAGAATGGAAAACGGAAAAAACGTCAAAGTATTAATAGGATAAAAGACAATAAAATATGGGTTAGGCGAACCCCCCACCAATGCCGAAAGAAGCGTTACGGCCGCAGCGGAATGGGCCGGTTGGTCTGGTTCTCAGTAATCTGATCCGTGTCCCACAGCTTGGCGAAGTTGTACGCTCTCGGGCAGTGGGTGTACGACTCTTCCACGTTGATGATGATACCCTGCAGATGCTTGGAGTTGTCGTCCGTCCAGTACAGTTCTAGCTCTACCTTCTGCCGCTCCAGCTCTTCCTTGTCCACGATGGAGATCGTCCCGTTGATACGCACCGTGTCGTTGATGCCGGGAATCATGAACAGCAAACCCACGTGCGGGTTGGTGTCCATGTTCTGATAGGACTGGAACAGCCGGTTGCCGGCCACGTCGGGTAGCAGCAGGCGCGTGCTGTCAATAACCTTGACGAAGCCGGCCTTGCCGCCCTTGGGCGAGGCATCACAGTTGCCGTCCGGGTCGGCGGATGCCATCACGGCGAAGGGCGAGGCAGCAATGAACTTCTGCACAAAGTCCGACATCTCGCCCTTAACCTTCTCCTTGGCCCGTGGGCTCATCTCGCCAAACTGGTCATTGAAGCGGCTGTCATTCTGCACGATAGTGGTCGCGGCGTCGGTAGAAGCCGTAGTAGTCATTTTGCAAACTCTCCTGATACCCGTCCGTCGGAACATATGAGTCCGTTAGAATCACGAACCCGCCAATATAGTCACCTGATGTGCCGCAGAATAACGGATTTTCCTCCACAACGCCAGCCACCAACTATCCACAATCGCCCGAAACATCAACCCCCGCTCATTCGTACCCACTTTGTCATTGCGAGGAGCAAAGCGACGTGGCAATCTCGATGAGGTTAAACACGCGTCGGCGAACCGCCGTTGCTACGGCGACGAGATTGCCACGCTAAGCTCGCAATGACAAAGTGGGTACGCGTGCCCCATCCCCATCATTGCGAAGAGCGCAGTAACGTGGTAACCGCGCCGCCCGCTACGGCCCAAAATCCTGCCCATTCCGGTAAAAAACCGTCTTCTCTCCTCTCTCGCCAGGCGAGGGGCCGGGGGAGAGGCGCGCGCTTCTAAGGGCGTTGGGTGCGCGCTCTCGGTGGCTAATGTACTATGAGCGCAACCGACCCACCGAGGTGTCCCATGACCACCCACGCCACCGCTGCCGCTACGCAGTTAACCACTGCCGACCTCCGCAACGCCGTGCCACCCCTGGACGGAGAGTTGATCCTGCCCGGGCTGCACGCTGCCGTGCAGGTTTGGCGGGACGAATGGGGCATCCCCCACATCCGCGCCACCGATGAGCACGACGCCTGGTTCGCCCAGGGGTTTGTTACGGCTCAGGACCGGTTGTGGGCGATGGAATACGACCGGCGCCGCGCCGTTGGTCGTTGGGCCGAGGCCGCCGGCGTCTCTGCCGTGGGCCAGGATATGCAGATGCGCCGCCTCCGCCTCGAAGACGCCGCCCGCGCCGATTGCGCCGCTGCTGGCCCTCGCGCTCAGGCCATGTTCCAGGCCTACGCCGACGGCGTCAACGCCTTCATCAACAGCGATGCGCCGTTGCCCGCGGAGTACGGCATCACCGGAATGACGCCCGAGCCGTGGGAACCGTGGCATAGTCTGGCCGTCTACAAGGTGCGCCACATTTTCATGGGCGTGTTCGAGAGCAAGGCCTGGCGCGCCCGTCTCGTTCGGGAACTGGGCCCAGAGCGTGCCGGACAGCTATTCCCGTCTTACCCGCCCGGCCAACCCGTCATCATTCCCACCGGCGCGGATTTCAGCGGGTCTGCCGACGTCGGATATCAACAGCTGCTGGATGGCGCGGCCAATCTGAACCTGATTGGCGAGATGGACAGCGGCTCCAATTCCTGGGTAATCTCGGGCGAGCGCACTGCAACCGGCAAACCCATCCTGGCCGGCGACAGCCACGTGGCCTGGACGTTCCCCAGCGTCTACTACAGAACCACGTGGCCTGCGACGCCTTCGACGTGGTGGGCAATTCCTTCGCCGGTGTGCCCGGCTTCCCCCACTTCGGACATAACCAGTGGGTGGCCTGGTGCGTTACCCACACCAGCGCCGATTATCAGGATTTGTACATCGAGCGGTTCAACGACGCCGACGCCTCCCTCTACCAGCGTCAGGATGACTGGTACAACGCCGATGTGCGCGATGAGGTCATCAAGGTGCGCGGCGGCGGCGACGTTCACCTGCGGACCTGGGCTACGCACCACGGCCCCGTGGTCGGCGGCGACCCCATGTCCGGCTACGGCCTCGCCCTGCGTTACACCGCCACCCCGATCTTTTACAGAAATCAGGGCGACCCGTGGACGGACATCCTGCCGGCGATGCTGGAAGCCCAAAGCGTCCACCAGCTGGCCGACTCCATGAATGGTTGGGTCGATCCCGTCAACAACTTTGTGATGGCCGACGTCGACGGCAATATTGGCTACCAGTGTCGCGGTGAGATTCCCCGCCGCCCCGACGATGCCCCCGCTCCGCTGCCCGTGCCCGGCTGGGACGGCCAGCACGAGTGGCAGGGCAGCATCCCGTTTCAACGAACTGCCGCGTTACATCAACCCGCCCGAGGGCTACATCGTAACTGCCAACAACCGCCCGGTGGCCGATGATTATCCCTATTACATCTCAATGGACTTTGCCCCAGGCTACCGGGCTATGCGCGTGGCCGAGCGAATCCGCACCATGCCCAATCCATCGGCCAACGATATGGGACGCATCCATTCCGAACGCGTGTCCCTGCCCGCCCAGGCCTACGTCGCCGCCCTGCAAGCAGTCCCGATGCCGGCGGACCCGGCGGTGGCCGTTGCTCTGGCCAGGCTCCAGGCATGGTCGGGCGCCATGGACGCCGACGCCGTCGAGCCAACCATCTACAGCGCCACGCGAGATGTGTTGCAGTGGCGGATACTGAAGCACAACGTCGGCGAGAACCTGGCTGCCCTGTCCTGGCATCCGGTAGACCGTGGTCGCGGGGGTTTCGTCAACCGCTTCCGCATCCTGATGAACGATGCCATCGCTGCCGGCGATCCCAGCCTGCTGCCGTCCGGCGAAACCTGGCCATCCGCGCTGGCTGCATCGCTGGAAGAGGCCGTGGCCATCCTCGGCAACCGGCTGGGCCCAGACCTGGACACCTGGCGTTGGAACAAATTGCATCGGGCCAAACCACAGCACCCCCTGGCAATGGCAGACCCGGAACTCGCCTCGCTGCTAAATCCGCCCGAGATACCCACCGGCGGCGACGGCGATACCCCCTGGGCCGGCTCGTACTCGCCAGCCGACTTTGCCACCGTGGGCGGCCTGTCGGTGTTCCGCTACGCCTACGACCTTGGGAATTGGGAAAACTCGCTATGGGCGGTGCCCCTCGGTGCATCCGGCCACCCCGCCAGCAACCACTACGCCGATCAGTCCGACATGTGGCGTCGAGTCCAAATGACCAAAATGCGCTACGACTGGGAAGGGATAAAAGCCAACGCTAAAACAACCCAAACCCTGCAGACGGGGTGAAAGAATTCGACGCCACGCTCATCTAGTCTTCCCGCAAATGCGGCGCCACCCGCTCGGCGAACAGTTCCAGGTTGGCTACGCCGTCTGCCAGCGGCATCCCCGGCCACATCATGCGGAAGCAGCCGTGGGACATGCCCAAGGACCGGTAACGGGATAGCTCCTCCACCACCTCGTCGGGACTGCCAATGACGAAACGGTCGCGCGCCAGATCCTCGAACGGTTCCCGGAAGTTCTCGTTGCCCGGTAGCGCCTTGTCCTGACCCCACTGGGCGTAGGCCTCGTACTTGCCGCCCAGGTACGGCGTCGCGCTGGCAAACGCCTCTTCGTGCGTGCGCCCCACGAACACCTCACGGCCGATGGGCAACCGCTCCGGCGCGCCCGAGTCAGCGGCTCCGGCAGCCTCGTGGTACATCTCCACCTGCTGGCTGATGGTCTCGTACTTGGCGTGTGGGTTCACGTACCACGTGTACCCCAGCCGGGCCGCGCGGGTGATGGCCGCATCGCTGTTGGCGGCCACCCAAATCGGTGGATGCGGCTGCTGCACCGGACGCAGCATCAGCTGGGCGTCGCGCAGCTGGAAATACTGGCCGTCGTAATTCACCTTCTCGCCCGACCACAGCAAGCGCATCGCCTCCAGACACTCCAGATAGCGACTCACCCGGGTGCGTCGGGGCACGCCGAAATTGTCATACTCCTCATCCCGGTAGCCCAACGCCGCGCTCAGGGTGAACTTGCCGCCGGTAATTACGTCCATCGTAGCCACCCGCTCGGCCAGGTCCACCGGATGGTGCAGGGGCACGAGCATCGTCGCGACCAGCCCCATGCCGCGCGCCTCGGCGGAGATGCGCGCCAGCAGCGGCATCGTCTGCAATTGCTGGTATGGGTCGGTCAGGTAGTGCTGACCCTGATAGACCAGGTCAAAACCCAAGTCGCGCGCCGCACCGACGTAGGTGCAGATGTCGGCGAACGCCTGCTGCATATCGGCGCCGACCGGCTGTTGGGCGATGGCGGAAAGGGACACGCCAAATTGCATCGGAATACCTCCGCTAGTCTGCAGATGCCAAATTACCGTCGTTCGCAAGTCTGCGGATGCTATATCACTGTCATTGCGAGGAGTACCGGCTCATCCCGAGCTCGTCGAGGGACGTGGCAATCTCATCGCTGCAACCGACTACGTCGTTGTCAGCCACCCGCCGCCAGCTGATTGCCCAGCAGGTTGATGGCGGACTGAACCGCTCCATGCTTGGTAGCATCCCGGTCGCCGCCGACGCGAATCTCGATGGCCGCGTCTACGCCGCCTTTCACCGCCAACCCGATCCAGAAAGTGCCGATGGGCAGTCCGCTGCGGCCCGCCGCCGGGCCGGTTACGCCGGTGGTGGAAAGAGCATAGTCGGTGCCGGTCAGTACCAGCACTCCCCGGGCCATTGCGATGGCCATTTCGCGGCTTACGCTGCCCGCCGTCTCGTATAGCTCATCGGGCACGCCTAGGATTTTCTCCTTTAGTCCGCCCGTGTAGGCGATTACGCCGCCGGGGAAGAAACGCGATGCGCCCGGAATGGTGCCCAGCGTGTACCCCAACAATCCGTTGGTGCATGCTTCCGCAACCGACACGGTTTGTTCGCGCGACAGCAGAGTTTCAGCTACCTGTTGTACGTCCACAACGTACCTCCTCTATCCATGGAATGATCCCCTCTGAAATGATCCCCTCTCCCTTGATGGGAGAGGGTTAGGGTGAGGGTGAATGTCGAACCAAAACCGGGCGCTGCTAAACGTCCAGCATCTTGTCCGGCGTCATGAGCTCCATGAACTCGATGTGATTGCCCTCGACCAACGGACCGATTTCCCGGCCCACTTCCATCGCTGCCGGAGGCAATTGATGCCCGCCGCGCATAGGGGACATCAGCGCCTCGTCCGTCCATTCCAGCACGACGATGTTTTGTTCGGCCGGCGTGGTGGCGCCGTTGAAATACACCTTGAACTCGCTGCGCTGGCCGGCATCGTGGAAAATCTGGGCCTGCTTCTGCAACAGGCTGGCCACCCGCCTCGCCTCGCCGGGTTTGGTTTTGAAAATTCTCCGTAACAGGTACATATCAGTTTCCTCAGTTAGTGGTGTCAGCTACCTTTTGCAATAACGCCAGGAACTCCCGGTTGCCAGCGTCTCCGGTGATTGGTGAGTCTATGGTATCCAGCAGCCGGATGTCCGGGCGGTCGTGCATCCAGTCGGTAACCCGTTTCAGGATGTCAGCGCGCAGTGTGTCGTCGCGAATGATACCGCCCTTGCCAACCTCGCCGCGCCGTGCCTCAAACTGCGGCTTAATGAGGGTAACCGCGTATCCGCCGGCGCGCAGGTGGGTCAACGGTTCCGGCAGTGCCATTGTGAGCGAGATAAACGATACGTCGGCCACCAGAAAATCCACCTGCTCCGGCAGCTCAAAGGGGTAGCGGGTGTTCACCTTTTCCATGCACACCACCCGAGGGTCGGAGCGCAAGCGGTAGTGCAGCTGGCCGTGTCCCACATCCACCGCGTAAACGCGTCGCGCCCCCCCAAGCCCCCGGCGGTGTGCCATAATTCAGCAGACAGTCGGTGAACCCGCCTGTTGATGCTCCCACGTCCAGCGCAGTGATGCCGTCTAAAGGGATACGGTACGGCTCCACCCAGGTGTCCAGCGCGTGGGCCAGCTTGACGCCGCCACGACTGACATACGGCAACCGTTCACGGAGTTCCAGCGGCGTGTCGGGCGGCAGGAATGTGCCCGCCTTTTGTACCGGGCCGGTGGGAGTCAGCACTGCGCCAGCCATGATCAGCGCCTGCGCCTGTTCCCTACTCTCTACCAACCCTCGGTCAACGAGCAGCAGGTCGGCGCGCTGGCGTGGCGATTTCGGCGTGGATGCGGCCATTGGTTCCGTCGTTACTCGCCGATGAACTCGGGCCGCCGCTTTTCCAGGAATGCGCGGTAGCCCTCCTGATAGTCGCGGGTGTCGAACTGCGTTAGCGGCAGGTTCGCCTCATCGGGCGTCAGGTCCAGCGACGGTTTCGCCAGCACCTGGTTGAGGGTCTGCTTGTTTACGGCGTGAGACAGCGGCGCCAGCGCGGCGATGTCTGCTGCCAGCTTGTAGGTAACTTCGGCCAGCTGGTCTGGCGATACCACCTGATTTACTAGCCCGATGCGCAGGGCCTCTTCGGTGCCCAACAGCCGGCCCGACAGCAGGATGTACAGCGCGTTGCCCTTGCCCACCAGGTTCACCAACCCGTACATCTCGCGATGGCCGATGGTGATGCCCAACCGGGCCACCGGGATGCCCAGCCGACTGCCCTCCGCAGCGATGCGCAGGTCGGTAGCCACGGCCAGCTCGCAGCCCCCACCGGCGGCAAACCCGCCAATCATGGAGATGACCGGCGTGCCCATCTCGGCTACGGTTTGCAGCAGGCCGTCCACCGCACGATTGTAAACGCGACCCCGCTCCGAGTCGCTGCGGTACTGCTCAAAATCGCTGATGTCCGCCCCTGCCGAGAACGCCTCGTCGCCAGCGCCGGCAATCACCACGCAACGGGTGTCCCGGTCGGAGTCCAGCTGACGCATCAGCTCGGTGAGCTGACCCCACATCGCAAAGGAGATGGCGTTGCGCTGAGCTGGCCGGTTGATGGTAACCGTCGCGATGGCAGCCTCCCGCCGCAGCAGGATGTAACCGTCCGAGTCAACGGGGGCATCGACGCCAGAGGTAACAACGGAGGAGGGGTCGGGCATAGGACAATGCTCCCAGCGTGGGGGTAAGGACGGCGCCGGTCCGACGGTACAACAAACGTTATCACAGATTAACGGCGCGACACGGAAGCGTCAACAGCGGCGCGGTCTGAAAGGTGTCGCGATGGAAATTACGCAACCTATCATAGTTAACAATGATATTGACGGATTCTATCAATCACCAAAGGCAATATATTGATGAGCATACATCGTCCTTGACATCGCGTCGATTCGTAACATAGGATTACTCCACTATTAAATAATGTGCTACGCGACACATGAGCTAACAGGCTCGGCCAAGAGGTTTAACGGTTTATGTTGCACGCCCTCAGACTGACGCTAGTACCCGGAATATTGCTGATTGGCTTGTTTATAGCTGCCACAGCCTGTGGCGGAGCCGAAGCGCCGGCTCCCACAACTCCGAGTCAGCCCGCCGCACAACAGGCGACAAGCCCGCCGACGTCGGCGCCCCTCACGGCCACTTTGCCGCCCAATGCCACCATTCGTCCGACCGGCACGCCGGCGCCCACGACGGTGATTCGTACCGCTCCCACGCCGGTTCCGAGCGGCGGGCCGCGTTATGGCGGCCTGGTCCACATGTCCGCATATGCGGATACTAAAGACTGGGATCCGCTGGGTTCCTCATCCCTTTCCAGCGTCATCTCCTATTCCCAGCTGTACAACCAGATCGTGCAGTTCGACACCGACGACCCTACCAAGGTGGTAGGCGACTTGGCGGAGAGCTGGGAGATCAATGAGGATGGCACGTCCTTTTACCTTCCACCTACGCGACGGAGTGAAATGGACCGACGGAGAGGCCCTAGACGCCGATGACGTGCTGTACAGCATGCTCCGCTACGGCAACCCATGCAACGGTCGAGGTCGCTCGGGACTGTGGCGGACCTACACCGTCCCGATGGAGGTGTTGGCCCTAACAGACAAAGCCGATTGCACTCCGACCAACGCCGACGAAGTTGTCCGCAAGGTCGACGACCTGACCGTCGAGTTCAACCTGGCCTTCGCGTCGGGGGCGTTCATTAACTTCCTCGCCATCGACTACGTCAAGATACTACCGAAGCATATTCTGGAGCAGGGGGTTGACCTCAATCAGGCAGAGAACATCCTTGAGCACGGCGCCACGTCGGGGCCGTTCATCCTGGAAGATTACCAGTCGGGGAACCACTACAAGGTCAACAAGAACCCCGACTACTTCAAGGAAGGGTTCCCGTACTTTGACCGGATTGAACACTATATCATCACTGTGCCGGCAACCTTCATAGGCCAAGTGGAGGCGGGGCAGATTGATATGCAGAATGCCGCCGCCAACAACCTGACGGCACCGGAGAACTATGCGATAGAAGTGACGACCAACAGCGAGTACGTCGCCCACGAGGTGATAGGAGGGACCCGCGGTCTGATGCTCAACGTGAAGCGTGAGCCGTTCAGCGACCATCGGGTACGTCAGGCCATCAACCTGGCGGTGGATCGGCAGCAGGTGAACGAGCGGACGCTATACGGGTCCGGCCGCGGTCATTGCCCGCTGGTGGGTCTGGCCCACAAGTACGAGGAGTGCGATACCTGGCCGGGGATACGCGCCAAGACCGACGACAGCGGGAATCTAACTCCCGGCGGACAGGAAGATATTACCCGGGCCAAGCAGTTGATGGCGGAGGCGGGCTACCCCGACGGTTTTGAAATTACGTACACGGCGAGGCAGGTGGGCACCTACCCTGCGGAGTGCGCGGTGATCAAGCAGGACCTGGAGGAATATTTGGGCATCACGGGAGACATTGAAACCCTGCCCAGCGCCGCCGGCTACGCCAGGTATGGCACTTCTCGTCCAGCCGACGCCCAAGGCGACTGGGACATGGGCTGCCAGGCCGACGGTATGACGGTGTTTGACGTGGACGCCGTTTACGGGGGTATGTTCCTGAAAGGCGGCACGCGCAATTACACCGATTGGGAAGCTCCTGAGATTAACGCTTGGTTTGAGGAACAGAAAGTGGAGCTTGATCCGGAAAAGCGCCGGGAGATCAACAAGGTAGCGGAGCGCTGGCTGCACGATTTTTCCAACAACCACTGGGTCAGTCTGACCCTGGGCCGGAACTTCTGGGTAGTAAACCGCGACATCAAAGGGTTCAACGCCCCTCAGACCGTGCAGTATGGCTTCAAGCACGAGCATCTATGGTGGGACCGCTAGAAGTTAGGCACGGATAGCAGCAAGGAATCATCCAGCAGTTGGCAACTGGATTAGTACCCAGACGGGCGGGACGAGCCAATATTCGTCCCGCCTGATGCCCGCTCCCCGGCGAGGCTTAAGCGATGCGACAGTACACCATCAAACGAATCGGCCTGTTCATACCCACAGTGTTGTTGGTCACCGTGATTGTTTTCGTAGTGATGCGCCTCATCCCGGGAGACCCGGCGCTGGCAATTCTTAGCGCAGACGACGCCGCCTACACCGAGGACGAACTGCGCCTACTACGTATCGAACTGGGCACGGACCGGCCCTTGGTGATTCAGTATGTGGGCTGGATAGGGGGACTGGCTCGCGGAGACTTCGGCACCTCATTCTGGTGGGGCGGGCCGGTCATTGACCGCTTGGGCGAGCGCATCCCGGTAACCATCGAACTGGCACTCTTGGGGATAGGGCTGGCGGTCGTCTGCGCCGTCCCATTAGGCGTGTTGTCGGCCATCAAACCCGATGGCCTGATTGATTATCTGTCCAGAGTATTTACGCTGGTGGGCATTTCCATACCCACCTTTTTCAGCGGGATCCTGCTAACGCTGATTTTGATACGCGCTTTCGGTTGGCTGCCTCCGCTGGGATATGAGGACATTTGGGAGGATCCGTGGGCGAACGTCAAGCAGTTGGTGCTGCCGGCGCTGGCGCTGGGGTTCTACGATATGGCGTTCATCGCTCGAGTTACACGCTCGTCGATGATGGAGATCCTTCGTGAAGACTACATGCGCACCGCCCGAGCCAAGGGACTGCGTGAGACCGCTGTGCTGGTGCGGCACGGCTTAAAGAACGCCGTCCTACCCATTCTGACCATATCGGGGTGGCAGTTCGGGCGGCTGTTCGGCGGCACGGTGATTATCGAAAAGATATTCCTGATTCCCGGCGTGGGCCAGTTGTTGATTGACGCGATTTACCAGCGGGACTTTCCGACTATCCAGGCCGTCATTGTCATCGTGGCTCTGTCCATAGTGGTGGTCAATCTCCTGGTCGATCTACTTTACGGTTGGCTTGACCCGCGGATCAGGTACGCATAGGGCGGCGGAGAATACCGACAACGATCGGGCAACGGCGGAGCATTACTCATGGCCATGTACAACACAGGGCAAACGGCGGAACCAGCAGCAGTTGACGCGCAACTACTGGACGTACGCCCGAAGCAGACGACGGTCCAGAAGGTTATCGGTTTCGCGCGCACCAAGCCGCTGGGGGCGATCAGCGCCGGCATAATCATCCTCACCATGCTGACAGCGATTACCTCGCCAGTAATCGCGCCTTACGACCCGTTGGACCTGGTACACGAGCCGTTCATCGCGCCCCAGCCCGGGGCATTGCTGGGCGCCGATGAGCTGGGGAGGGACGTGCTCAGCCGCATCATATACGGGGCGCGGGTATCGATGTACGTCGGCTTGCTGAGCGTAATCATTGGGATCAGCCTGGGCACGATTATCGGGATTCTGAGCGCGTACGTGGGCGGTGTGCTGGACTTGGCCATACAACGGATTGTTGATGCGCTGATGGCGTTCCCGGCCATCATCATGGCGCTGGGGTTGACGGCTGCCCTGGGGGCGTCGATCAACAACATAGTTGCGGCGTTGGTGGTTATTCTGCTGCCGGGGGCGATCCGCGTGATCCGGGCTCAGGTACTGAGCATCAAAGAATTGGATTACACGCTGGCGGCGCAGGCCATTGGCGCGCGGCCGTGGCGGATTATGCTAAGGCACATAATGCCCAATGTGGTAGCCAACTACATCGTGCTGAGCACCATCACGCTGGGACTGGCGATCATCATCGAGGCATCGCTCACCTTCCTGGGAGTGGGCGTGTCCCCTGACATTCCGACGTGGGGCGGGATGCTGACCGAAGGGGCGCAGAAGTACATTCGCACCGCGTGGTGGCTGGCGTTGTTCCCTGGCCTGGCGATTTCGCTCGTGGTGTTTTCGGTGAACTTCCTGGGCGACGCCCTGCGCGACGTTCTTGACCCTCGACTGCGCGGTCGGTAACGGATTTCGATAAGTTGTGCCCCCTTCCCACCGGGAGGGGGCTTTTTTTGTTTATTCGCTGTTGACAGTAAGGGAACGCTGCCTTAACATATGCAACCCAGCCTTCGGTTTGTGGTTAATTTCACAATTGGCCGCGACCGGGATTTTCCATTGGCGACGGGGTAGCCTCACGGCCAACTCGTTAGCCTCGATAATCGTTTGCGGTACCAGGTACCGACATCGGGAGGACAAAACCAAATATGAAGCCATCTATCTTGGATCGGCCATCGTTCCGGCTGTTGCTGCCACTGGCAGGGGCGGTCGCGCTGATGGTCGGCATTGCCTGTGGTGGAACCGCAGAGCCCGTCGCCGCTCCGGCACTTGTTGCCACCATTGCCCCCGCGGCCGAAGCGACTCCTACGCATACGCCGCCACCTGGCGCTACTACTCGACCCACTAACACCCCGGCCCCGACCGCGATGCCGCGCGTCGTCGCCACCCCAACCCCTAGCGCTGGCCCCAAGTATGGCGGCACCCTGCTGATGTCAGCTTATGCCGATACCAGGGACTGGGATCCGCTGGGTTCTGCCTCTTTGTCTAGCGTGATTTCCTACTCCCAGATTTACAACCAACTGGTGCAGTATGACACCACGGATACCAACCAGGTTGTGGGCGATCTGGCCTCAAACTGGGAAATCAGCTCTGACGGTACCGCCTATACGTTCCACCTCCGCGACGGGATGCAGTGGACCGATGGCACGCCGATTACCTCGAATGACGTGGTAACCACGTTAGCCAGGTACGCCAATCCATGCAACTCCACTGGTCGGTCCGGCCTCTGGCGCAATTACACCGTCAAAATGGAAGTGGTGGAGCTGGCCGACAAGGCCGATTGCACACCCACCAACCAGGACGATGTGCTGCGCGCAGTCGATGACTCCACCGTGGAGTTCAACCTGGAGTTCGCCTCCGGCGCGTTCATCAAATTCCTGGCCGTCGACTATGTGAAAGTCCTCCCTGCCCACCTGTTGGATCAGGACGTGGACTTGAACAACGCGCGGAACATCATCAGCAACAATGCCACATCCGGCCCCTTCATTCTGGATGAATACCAGGAAGGCGACTTCTACAAGGTTGACAAAAACCCCAACTATTTCAAGGAAGGGCGTCCCTTTGTCGATCGGATAGAGCACTTCATCATCACCGATACCTCAACGTTGATTGCCCAGTTCGAGGCTGGCCGGCTGGATATGGCTAACGGCGGGTTCACCAACCTGTCGCCAACCCAGTACTTCGACCTGGAAAAGAGCACCAATGGTGAGTACGTCGCTCACCCCATCGCCGCTGGCACCAACTGGGGCCTGATGCTCAACATCAAGAAGCTTCAGTTCCAGGACACCCTGGTTCGCCAGGCCATCAACTTGGCAGTCGACCGGCAGGAAGTTGACGAGCGCGTGTTCGACAACTCTGGCGGTAGCTATTGCCCCCTGATGGGTTTGGCTCATGCGAACGAGGAATGTAACACCTGGCCCGGCATCCGCTCCAAGGACACCGAAGGTGGTCAGGAGGACCTGGTGGAAGCCAAGCGCCTCATGACCGAGGCCGGTTATCCGGATGGGTTAGAAGTCCAGTACACAGTGCGGCAGGTGGGCAACTATCCTGACCAGTGTTCGGTGGTCAAGCAGCAGCTGGAGACCGTGCTCGGCATTCGCGGTGATATCGAAACCCTGCCCAGCGCAGCCGGTTACTCCAAATACGGGACTTCTCGACCCGCCGACTCGGACGGCACTTGGGAAATCAGCTGTCAGGGCGAGGGCATGGTCGTGTTTGACGCCGACGCCGTCTACGGTGGCGTTTACCTGAAGGGCGGTACCCGCAACTACACCGATTGGGAAAACGGATTGGTTACCGCCTGGTTCGAGGAACAGAAGGCTGAACTCGACCCGGAAACCCGTCGTGAGATTAACAAGGAAGCCGAGCTCTGGATCCACGATTTCTCCGACAACCACTGGGTTACCTTGCAACTGGGACAACTCTACTGGCTCGTACATCGCGACGTGAAGGGCTTCAACGCCCCGTCCACCGTGCAGTACGGCTTCAAGCACGAAGACGTGTGGCTGGATCGCTAAGCGGTTAGGCCGCCCTTGTTCAGGCGATAATATGCGTCCAGCCGACCTTTCCGGCTGGACGCATCTGAATGTAAAACCTCCTCAGTCAGCTGACCGGCAACAGGAAGGTACAACAACGCTATGCGACAGTATGCAATGAAACGCATCGGGCTCATCATTCCCACGGTGTTGCTCGTTACGATCATAGTTTTCGCGGTAATGCGACTCATCCCCGGCGACCCGGCTTTGGTCATCCTCAGCGAAGGCGACGCCTCGTTCACTCAGGGCGAACTCGAAGCGCTGCGCCACGAACTCGGTACCGACCGCCCCATTGTGGTTCAGTATCTGGACTGGGTAACCGGTCTGGCGCAGGGGGATTTGGGCGAATCCTACTGGCGGCGAGGCCTGCCGGTGTGGGAACTGCTGGGCGACCGGATTCCCAGAACCTTGCAATTGGCAGTGATGGCCATCGTGATCGCGGTGATGTTCGCCGTTCCGTTGGGTATCGTATCGGCCATCAAGCCCGACAGCCCGGTTGATTACGTTTGCCGCGTTGTCGCGCTCGTTGGCATCTCCATACCAACTTTTTTCGCCGGCATTCTGGTGGTGCTGCTGTTATCGCGAGGCTTCGACTGGCTGCCCCCGTTGGGTTATGCCGAGCTTTGGGAAGACCCGTGGACTAATATCCGACAGATGTTCTTGCCGGCACTGGCGCTGGGTTTCTACGATATGGCCTTCATCGCACGGGTTACCCGTTCGTCAATGATGGAAATAATCCGCGAGGATTACATGCGAACCGCCCGGGCTAAGGGGTTGGCGGAACGGATTGTGCTCGTCCGGCACGGACTCAAAAACGCGGTGTTGCCGATCCTGACAATTTCCGGCTGGCAATTCGGGCGGCTTTTCGGAGGCACGGTTATCATCGAGAGCATCTTCCGGGTACCGGGCATCGGCACGCTGCTGATCGAAACGGTGTTCCAGCGGGATTTCCCAACCATCCAGGCCATCATCATTGTTGTCTCGGTGTCCATCGTGCTGATCAACCTGCTGGTTGACTTGCTGTACGGTTGGATGGACCCGCGAATCCGCTACGCCTAACCGTGGAACACTAACCAGTACGGAGAACCATCGGAATGACTACTACCAACACCGGACAAACGCTGTCGTCAGCGCCGGCGGCAGACGACCTATTACTGGACATGCGGCCCAGGCAAACGCTGGGTAAAAAGATCATCAGCTTCGCTCGTGTCAAACCCCTGGGCGCCATCAGCGCCGTTATCATCCTGGTTACAATCCTGTCGGCGATGGTGTCCTACGCCATCCCGGGTATTTTGCCCAATGACCCGCTGGATGTGCGCGCCCACGAGGAAAAATTCCTGCCACCCTCGCCAGGTGCGTTTTTGGGTAGCGACCACCTGGGTCGTGATGAATTTAGCCGGATCATCGTCGGTTCTCAAATTTCCATCTACGTCGGATTGCTCAGTGTGGGCATCGGTGTGACTTTGGGAACACTAATCGGCATCATCAGCGCCTATGCCGGCGGCATTATCGACCTGGCGATCCAACGGATAGTTGACGCGATGATGGCATTCCCGCCCATCATCCTGGCGCTGGGACTGGTTGCCGCCGTGGGCGGCTCGGCCAATAACATAATCATCGCGCTGGTGGTGATTCTGTTACCAGGCACCATACGGGTCATCCGCGCCCAGGTGCTGAGCATCAAGGAGCTGGACTACACCTTGGCGGCCACCGCGATAGGCGCGGGCTCGTCACGAATCATGCTGAAGCACATTTTGCCCAACGTGATTGCCAGCTACATAGTGCTGGGCACAATCACGCTGGGGTTTGCCATCATCATCGAAGCGTCCCTGTCCTTCCTCGGGGTCGGTGTGCCACCAGACATTCCAACCTGGGGTACGATGCTGACGCAAGGAGCTGGCGACATCCGCATCGCGTGGTGGTTGGCAGTTTTCCCCGGTATTGCCATCTCCGTCGTGGTGTTTTCGATCAACTTCCTTGGCGACGCGCTGCGCGACGTGCTCGACCCCCGTTTGCGCGGGCGGTAAGTCAATCGCACCATCGGCAATCGCACCATCAGTATTTGCTGGCCCTCGCCGTTTCCGGCGGGGGCTTTTTTGTGGGCGGCATCGGCAAACCGTGCTACACTGCGGGCGCTATTGAGTCAACCGGATTGACCCGGCAACGGCCCAAGCGCCGACGCTGGTCGGTTGGTGTTGAGTTTGAGACGTGAGGTGCACTATGTCCTGGAATTTTGAACTGGTCGCAGGGCCCTATGGTGGCACTGCCGAAGGCCCGGTTTGGGACGGCGAAGCGGTGTTGTTTACCCACATCCCCGCTTCGAAAATTCTGCGCTATGATCCCAAATCCGGCGCGGTTTCCGAGTATTTTGACGAGTCATTCAACACCAACGGCCTGTGTTTCGATGCCCAGGGCAACCTGTACGGCTGCCAGCAGGGTCGCCGCCGCATCGCCCGCTTCGACGCCGCGAGCAACACAGCCACGTCGATGCCGCACCTGCTGGGCGGCCAGCGCCACAATAACCCCAACGACCTGGTGGTAGACAAGTCGGGGCGTATCTGGTTCACCGATCCTTACTCTGGTATAGGCGACAGCGGCCCACAGGAACTTGACCATATGTCGGTGCTTCGCATCGACCCCAAGGGCAATGACCAGTGGGATCTGGTGCGGGCCACCACCGACATTTCGCGTCCCAACGGCATTCTGATCAGCCGCGACCAACGCACGCTGTATATCGCGCAGAGCGATTACGGGGCCGACCGTCGCCGCGAATTGCGGGCGTACCCCATCGCTGACGATGGGTCGCTCGGCGATTACACGGTGCTGCACACCTTCGGTATTGACGGCGGCGCGGCCAACGGTGACCTGCGCGGCGTCGGCAGCCAGGGGGTGCAGCGCGGCGTGGACGGCATGACGCTGGACGTCGACGGCAACATCATCGTATGCGCGGGTTGGGAAGCTGCCGGGCCGGGCCCAATCATCTACGTGTTTTCGCCCGCCGGCCGGGTACTGGAAACCCACGCCCTGCGGGTAGACCGACCCACCAACTGCTGCTTCGGCGATGCCGATATGCGCAGCTTGTACGTAACCACCGGCGGCGGTCATCTTTTCCGGGCTCGAACCGACCGCACCGGCTGGATTATGTGGCCCTAGTCGCGCTGGAGCCCCCAACGTTCCATGCCGCCGCTGCAAACGCTTGACAACCGGCCACGTAACGCCAAAAATCTGCACAGAGATTCTCGCTGATAGTTGGGATCGACCGGCTATACTGGCACACAATTCAGGAGGCTTACTGATGACTACTGCAAACGGCCACCGCACTAACGTTTACGTCGGTCTGGGTGGCGAAAGCGCTCTTATCGTGGGCGCGGAAGGCACCCCGCTGGGCGAAGGCGGCCTGTACCGCCTCACCGAAGGGGATTCGACATGGGTAGCCGTGGAAAACGGCTTGCCCGAGAATCCTCAAGTGCGCGCGCTGTTGGTGCACCCGACAACCCCGACACCGTATACGCCGGTACCCAGGATGGTGTATATCGCAGCGACGATCATGGCGAGAACTGGCGGCGCACCGATACGCTCAGCGGAGAGGTTTGGTCGTTGACCGCCCATCCCAATGATTCGTCCATCATGTTTGCCGGTTATGATCAGGGCCGTGTTTGCCGCTCTGACGACGGGGGCGAGTCCTGGCGCCAACTGAACACCAAGGGGTTGCTGCATCCCCACATCACGATGAACCCCTACGAAATCGTGAAGAGGGTCATTGGGTTGAGCGTCGACCCGGCTCACCCGAACGATGTGTACGGCGCCATTGAAGTCGGCGGGCTGATTGCGTCCCGCGACGGCGGTGAGACTTGGTCCTGCATTACCGACGGCCACTACACCCGCATGGGCCCGGTCGATCTGCACGGGGTGCAGGTGAATGCCTCAAACCCCGGCCTGGTTTACATCATCACTCAACTTGCCATGTTCCGCAGCCGCGAGCGAGGCCAGAGTTGGGAGTTTGTGCCCATCGACGAGATGTTCGACGGTGGCAGCTATTGCCGGGACCTGGTGGTGGCTCCCCATGACCCCAGCATCATGTATCTGGCAGCCGGAGCCGGCGGCGGAAGCTCTCCAGCAGGTACCGTGGACGCCGGTGTGCTGATGCGCTCCACCGACGCTGGCGAATCCTGGGATCGGGTCGACTTGGGCGAAATTGCTCCGGCCCGTATGTTCCAGATCGCGATCGACCGCCACTCTCCCAGCAACGTGTACTGTTGCGACCGCGATGGCCACGTCTACTGCAGCGGCGATAACGGCGATAGCTGGAAGCGCACCGATGTGCCGGTCGATATGTCCCGCGGGCGGCATGTCTACCCCATGGTTGCGGGCTAACCCCAACTAACTCTTGCGCCCGTTCACAGCATGGCAGGCAGCCGGCAGTTGGCGAGCGTGAGGCTGAACCACATGAGCAAGGGCGAGCAATACCGCCCTTGCTCATCTAACTGGAAATAACCGGAGGTAGGACGACGGTGGCATCCACGGCGTTGTGGCAAGCAACTTTCCGCATCGGCGAAGCCGACCTGGAATACATGGCTCTGGAAGCTGGCGATTTGCCGGAATCACTGCGGGGCTATCAACTGGCTCGGGCCGGTGTTCTCAATAACGACGAGATGGCGGAGAACGGATTTCCCGGCAGCACGGCCGACCGTTTTCGGGACGCCGGTCGCATCAGTGGGTATATGCGCGAGTTTGTACCGACTTCAGACCTCCCGCCGGCCGACGGCCTGAATTTCGTCGGAGCCACTGTGGTGCATCTTTTCAGCAATCCCGACCAGGTGTCCGGCTGGATGACTGACGTGTTCGTTAAGGATTTCGAAGAGAACCTTGGGGAAAGCGTCGGTTCCGGCAGCAAATCGTATCGGTAGACCGGGTAGGAAGCCAACGGACTGTACGATGAATCGGTGGGGCTCCAGGTGCTCCAGGGAGGCCCGGCTGGCTTGCTATCCTCGACCGTAATCGACTTCCGCGTTGGGCGGCTGTTGGGTGTGGCTTCGTGGGCGCGGTAGGTCAGCATGACCGCACCGAGATCGTTACCGAACTGGCCCTGTCGCTGGAAAGGCGATGGTACAGGTGGCTTTGGGTTCACTCTAACCGGGCCCGGGCTGGCGCTACTGTTCGAGACCCTACTCGCCAGCATCCGCATTCAACAACAGCTCAGGGTACATCATGATGATGACCCAGCCGATCCAGTTGAATATGCCCAGAACGACCAGCACAAGTTCCACCAGGGTGTAAGGGGCGCTGGCCAATCGCATTCCCACCCGGTGTTGCCAATAGCGGTTGAGGTTGCCCTGAGCCCGCCATATTATTGCGGCCAGAATCGCTACCCGCGCCACGTTGGCCACGAAGTAACCGATTTGCTGCGTCTGTGTTAGCGTCGTCAGTTCTGGATCGGCAATCAGCCTGGCGGCCACCCAAACCAGAGCGACAGCGACCAGGAACAGCCCAACCGAAAGCATGGGACTCAACGTGGTGGGTACTCCCCGCTGCTCCATCATTTCCTGATAGACGCGCATGTGGGCGTGGAGCCGGAACAACTGGTACACCGGCACCAGCAGGGTCAGCGCGTGCCACACCGGATACGCGACCGCGTTGCTATGATCCCGGTAGTGCCGCCACGTAATGTACATCCAGTAAAAGATGTACAAACCGGTGGTCAAAAATGTTAGCAGCAGGATGCGGTTGGGGGAGATATACCACGCCAGCGAACCATCCCCAGCCTGGGCAGGCGCCGGGGGGCGTGCGGTTTGTTCCTCGGTTGGGTATCGCGGGCCACCACCGTCAATATCGTCTGGGATGGGTTGTCGCGCAGGTGAGGGGCTGGCCGCAGATGGTGGAGGTGGCGGCGGTACTCCTGTCCCGAAACGACCTCAGCCGGGTCTCCTGGGGCTGCCGGCAACGTTGCGCCGCAACCTCCGCAGAATCGGTGTCCCCACCTGATAAGGCGAACCGCATTGCGGACAACTGGGAGCGCCGATTTTATCCGTCATCGTTGGCAGACTCTAAGGCAATGCCGCGGAAATGTCCAGTTGGTGGGACTCCCGCTAGCCTGGTTTGTGTCCGGCTGGATGGACGAAAACAGGTGTCCCCGGGCAACTGGCTGCCCCGGGCGGGAACAAGAACGTCGGAGGGATCAGGCTTTGCTCCACACCACCGGGTTGCTCAGCGTGCCGATGCTGCTGACTGTGATGTCGCACACGTCGCCGTCTTTCATGTTCTCGGTCGCGCCATCGGTGCCCATCCACAGGATGTCCCCCGGTACCAGCGTCAGGTACTTGCTCATCTCGCTGATGTAGTGGCGCACTCCGAAAATTGCCGTCTTCAGGTCATACTCGCCAACGACGTTTTTGTTAACCTCGATGGTAACGTGCATCTGGTCAGGATCCACGTCGGTGGCGATCCAGGGTCCCATCGGCTTGAAGGTGTCGGTGTTTTTGGCGCGCCACATGGTGCGGTCGTTGCGCTGCCAGGTGCGCTCGCTGACATCGTTGCCGATGGTATAACCAAGCACATAATCCAGCGCCTGTTCTTCGGTAACGTTCCGGCATTCTTTGCCGATGACAACCACGACCTCGCCTTCGTACTGCAACATCTCGGTGGCGTCGGCCGGCACCATGATGGGGTCGCCATGGCCGGTCAGGGCGTTGATGGCGCGGTAACCGACATCGGCCCGTTTGGGGAGGTTCGGTTCCTCGCCGCGCATTTGAGCTGCCCAGGTAACGTGCTCCGGGAAGTTGATGCCGGCGGCGTAAAAGGTTGGCGGAACCACCGGCGGCAGCAGTTTCACCGAACTCAACGCATACTTGCTGCCGGTTTGTTGCAGCCCGTCGAACAGGCCACCCTGCACCTCCATGACGTTGTCGCCTTCAACGATACCGTACGCTTCCCGGTCTCCGGTGCGAAACTTGCAAATCAGCATGGCCGTGGCCTCCTGTGAATTAGCTGGGTTGTGGTGTGGTGGGATAGCAGTTTCCCGGCCCAATTCTGGCACCATAGCCGGGCACGGTCAAGCCAAACACGGGCTCGCGCGTTGTTGCCGTGCCGGTAGCGCGTCGTTGAGTTCAACTCGTCCCGGCGGTTGTCCTGGTGGCCGATATTGTAAAAAGCGCGACGACGCGGAAAACCGGCCGACCTGCGGAACCAGCCGAAACCGGGGCTTCAGGGCTGCTGCCCTCAAGCGTACACACTTTGTCATTGCCAGCGTAGCGTGGCAATCTCGTCGTCGTAGCAACGCCGGTTCGCCGACGTGGGTTTCAGCCTCATCGAGATTGCCACGTCCCTCGACCAGCTCGGGATGAGCGGGCGCTCCTCGCAATGTCAGCAGGCCGGTTTGGTTTGACAAAGTGGGTACGCGCGACGGCTGCTGCCTGGTAGGGGATGCCGGGCGGCGTGTGGTAACATGTCCCTCGTTGTGCCGGCAGCGCTTTGGCTTTCCGGCGCGCCTACTCAACTAACGTCGGCATACAACACCGGCAGGTGCGAGATTACAATGCAACAGGCCGAAACCCAACTCAAATTTTGGGCGCCTAGTCGGGTTCGATTCAACCTCACTCTCATCCTGGCGGCGGCCGTTATCCTCTTCGGCATTTACCAGTTGATCACCGAGGCGCGATCCGGAGACCCACCACCCGCCGAAACCGGGCAGGTGCAGGAGGGTCAGCCAGGAGCGGGTGACGAGGCGCAGCAATCGGGCCGACGCGGCGGTGGGTCCTGGCTCCTCATTATGGTCGGTATTGGCGTCGGGGCCTACTCGTGGCTAACCTCGCCCCGTCAGTACAGGATCTATTCGGATGCGTTGGTGATCATGTTCGGGACGCCGCGCAACCGGTCGATTCACTTCAGCCAGATTCAGGAGGCGGTGAATGATCGGGGCTTCATGGGCGACCCGCTCCGGGGTGTACACGATCAACCGACGGCGCATCGCCATTCAGGTACGCGACCCGGAGGAATTCCACGCGCACCTGGAATCTGCCATGGCTGAATTCCGTCGGGCCTATCCTCAGTTTGCGCCGCCACCCCGTGAAGACGAGGGTGGCGAAGCCGCCCCGACCGAAGCGCCATTTGATGTCGTCGACTCTTCCGCCGACGAGACTGAGATTGTTGACTCGCCACCAGCAGATGCGGACGGCGGCGACGCAAACTCCGGCGGAAGCCGTGGCTCCCAACGTCGCAGCCTGCGCGATGACGGCTACGACAGCAACCGCGATGACGAACGCCCGCGTTTTAGCTAGTCAGCTTTTGATACCATCTCACAAGATGAGCATGGCGTCGCCGAACGAGTAGAAGCGGTAACCGTCGGCAACCGCAGTCTGGTAGGCGGCCAACACGCGCTCGCGTCCGGCGAAGGCAGACACCAGCATCGAGCAACGTGGATCGGGGCAGGTGGAAGTTGGTCAGCATTCCATCCACCAGCCGGAAGCGGTGCCCGGGCAGGATGAACAGGCTGGCGTCACCGGTAGCCGGACCGATGCTATCAAGGTTGGCAGTGTTGGCGTCCTGAGCGACTTGCTCCAGCGTCCGCACGGTGGTGGTGCCCACGGCGATGACCCGCCCGCCCGATTGTCTGGTGGTGTTGATGGCCTCGGCGGTATCGGCTGGCAGTTCGTACCACTCGGTGTGGATCTGATGCTCGGCGATGTCCTCGCTGTGCACCGGTCGGAAAGTGTCAAGCCCAACGTGCAGAGTAACCCACTCGGTTGATACGCCCACTGCCCGAATGTCGGCCAGGAGCCGGTCGGTGAAATGCAGGCCCGCGGTTGGAGCCGCCACGCTGCCCGGAACATCAGCGTACACGGTCTGATAGCGTCCCGGGTCGCGCGGGGTTTCCTTGATGTAGGGCGGCAACGGCAGCTCTCCCAGGTGTTCCAGAGCGTTGTCATCGGAGAGCCGCACGGTGCGCAGACCGTTTTGGTGAGCAGCAATCACTTCTATGCGAGCAGACGACGACTCGCCGCCCTCTACGTCTGTGCCAATCACCACCTCGGCTCCCACGCGCAACCGCCGGCCCGGGCGCCCCAACGCCTGCCAGATGTTGGGTTCCTGTTGGCGCACCAGCAGCACTTCGACACGGGCGCCGGAATGCACCTCCGTGCCGTGCAGCCGCGCCGGAATCACCCGGCTGCGATTGAACACCATCAGATCGCCGGGGCGCAGATAGTCGAGCAGTTGCTGGAAAGTGCGGTGCTGAATTTCCCCGGCGTTTGCCGGGCCGGTCGCAAAGCGGGGCAGCACCAGCAGACGCGAAGAGTCCCTGGGTTCGGCGGGAGCTTGGGCGATGCGCTCTTCGGGGAGGTGGTAGTCGAAATCGCTGGTGCGCATCATCGTCCGCGCGACAGCCGGGGCAGCGGCTGCCAGCAACTATTTTGAGGAGTAACGACGGGCGGCATCCAGCGTGTTGCTAAGCAGCATGGCGATGGTCATGGGGCCAATGCCGCCGGGGACGGGCGTAATTGCTTCTGACTTGGCGGCCACCGCGTCAAAGTCAACATCGCCCACCAGCCGGTAACCCCGTCGCCGCGTCACGTCGTCAACCCGATTGATGCCAACGTCGATTACCACCGCGCCGTCGCGCACCATGTCCGCGGTTATCGCGCCGGGCACCCCCATCGCGGCCACCAGAATGTCGGCCTGGCGGGTGATGTCGGACAGGTTTCGGGTGCGAGTGTGGCAAACTGTTACGGTGGCGTTGCCGCCAATGGACCGTTGCATGAGCAACGCCGCCAACGGCTTGCCTACGATGTTACTACGCCCGACGATTACCACATGCTGGCCCGCCGGGTCGTATCCCGACCGCAGCAACACCTGCTGGACGCCCGACGGCGTGCAGGGCAGATAGGTGGGCTCCCCCTGTAGCATTTTGCCCTGGCTCACGGGGTGCAAACCGTCCACGTCCTTGGCCGGTGCGATGCGCTCGATTGCCGTGGCTTCATCAATCTGGGCGGGCAAGGGCAGCTGCACCAGGATGCCGTGGAATCTGTCGTCGGCATTCAGTCGGTCGATAAGACTCAACAGCACGTCGTGCGGAGTGTCCACCGGGAGATGGAACGTCTCGGAGTGCATACCTGCCTCAGCGCAGGCGCGTCCCTTGTTGCGGACGTAAACCGCCGAGGCTGCATCGTCTCCAACCAGCACGGCGGCGAGGCCCGGTTGCGGGCCGCCAGACGCGGTCAGTTGCGCCACGCCTTCGGCTACCTCCGCGCGCAGTTCGGCGGCGATCTCGTTACCATTCAGGATGCGAGCGGGCATGGATTCAGCGAGAGGGTCTATTCCAGGTCGAAAACGTACTGGCGGACGGGAAGAACGAGAAGCCGGGGGAGCACATTCTCGCCATCCAGCACTCCGGGTCTGCCAGCAATTCTGATTCTGCCAGGCCGGTACGATAGATGTAGGCGCACCGGTTGGCGGTGTCAATTAGCCAGCCCCAGTCGAACGCCGCCGTCGATCCACAAATCCATCTTGCGTTGCAATGGGGCCAGGTTATCGGTGCGGGAACGGATTTCCACCACGAAATCGGGGGCGGGGCGCCTTCAATTATAGTTAGCCGCTGTTGTTCGGGCAGGGCATCGTAGCGTTCCTGGGTAATCCAGGCAGCATCTGGCCCCCGGATTTCGCCGGAAGGCAGGCGGAAACGGCAAGATTGGGATGATGCCACGCCGCCGTGTTCGATCTCCCATCCGGTCAAAAAATGATTGAGGTAACTTTCGTGCCGGTTGCCGCGAAATCCAGTCATGGGCAGGATAATCAGTTCTCCCGCGGAGTTTACTTCCATTTCGTACCGGTTGTTCTGCTCGCAAAACTCGATGAACCGCGCCGGGAAATCGTCGGCCTGGTGGTCGATACCCAGAGACTCCAGGCGCAAGCAGATGGCGCCGGTACGCTGGCCGGCGTCGAGGACGCCGGCGTTCGCGACGGGAGTTAGTGTCTCAGGAGTTGGTATAGGCGCGGTGGTCATGGCTTGTTCCAGACTACAGTATGCGGTGTGCGTCTATCATATCATCACACATCTAAACCAACATGGACGTTGGTCATTCCAGGCCGCAAAGCGAAGCGGCAATCTCGTCGCGGTCGAGGTTTGCCAATCGACTGAATTGGCCCTACAATGCGGTCCATGCGGATTGTTTCGTTACTGCCCAGCGCCACTGAGATTGTGTTCTCCTTGGGGCTAGGCGATTCGCTGGTCGGCGTGTCGCATATGTGCGACTATCCCGCCGCCGCACGCGGATTGCCAATCGTCAGCCGCAGTATCCGCAGCAAGTCCCACCTGTCAAGCCAGGAGATCGACACCATCATCCAGCAGGCGCGGGCCAGCGGCAACCCCCTTTACATCATTGATGGCGACCTGCTCCGGGAACTCCAGCCGGACCTGATTCTGACCCAGGAGTTGTGCGAAGTTTGTGCCGTCGGCGCTGGTTCGGTGTTTGAGACGGTGGCCCAGACTCTGGATTACGCCCCTCAGATATTGAGCATCCGCCCGGCCAGCCTGGACGACATATTTCACAACATCAAACGCATCGGTGAGGCAGCCGGCGTACCCGACCGCGCCGCCGCGTTGCTCGCCAACCTGCGGCGCCGCACCGAATATGTCGCCGAACGCTCCGCCGACGGCCAGCATCCCTCGGTGTTCTGCATCGATTGGCTGGAGCCCCTCCGCAACACGGGGCAGTGGACGCCCGAACTGGTGGAATTCGCCGGTGGGCGAGAAGGCCTGGCGGAAAAATGGGGCAAATCTCGCGAAGTCAGCTGGCCCGAGGTTTTGGAATATCAACCCGACTACGTGATGGTTATGCCTTGCGCGTTCAATATGGATCGCACCATCGCCGAGACGGCGCGATTGATTGACCGGCCGGAGTGGTCTGCATTGACGGCGGTGCAGCAGGGTCGCGTTTACCTGTTTGATGGGCAAATACCCAGCCGACACGGCCCCCGTGTTGTTGATGTGCTCGAGGGTCTGGCTGAGGCAATGAGACCCGAACGGTTTGCCGGCCTCACCGCGCCGGGAATCTTTCGCCTGGCGGCGCCGGGACGATCGGCAACTGCTGCCGGCGACCGGGTTCGTGCATCCGGATAAGGAGTCAGACACTACGATGGGCCTTTACATGGTATCGCTGGAGCATGCTCCCGAACGCTGCCCCGGGGTCGATTTGGGCGTGCGAGACCGCGTGCTGCGAATGTCGGCTGACATGACTCAAACGCTGTCCACCCGTGGCTGCGAGTATCGCGGCGGCTGGGTTGGCAAGTCGTCGCATCAAACCTGGCTGGTATTGCAGGGGCCGGATGCTCATGCCGTGGATGACGCGGTCGTGGATATGGGTCTGGCTACCTGGAACCGCACCACGATATTCCCCATCATCACCATGGAAGAAGCCTTCGGCGGACTGCCCACTGACCGACGCGATACAGGAGAAACGTTATGAGCGAGGACATTTATCACCCGCGTAGAAGGACGGTGGTTGACCCGGCAGGTGTCGGCAAGACCAAGAATGCGCCGGCCCGCAAAATCGATCTCGGCGCGGTGGCCGATTTCCCGGAGCTGCCAGCCCGGGTTCGGCTGGACAACGGGGAGGAGCTCTGGCTGTCCAAAGCCCGTGATGGGAAGTATCGGCTGTTGTCGATGGTTTGCCCGCACGCCTATGGAAGGGTGGTCAAGTGGGACAAGAGCTTTTTGTGTCCCGACCACGGGTGGCGGTTCGAAGAAGGCCAGGGCATATGCGTGAACGGCCCGCGCTCGCAGCTTTTTTACCATGAGGTAGTGGTGGCTAACGGTCGCCTGTTGGCCCATATTCCCGCCGACACCGACGAGTCCGTGACCCACGCGCCCCCGCCAGCTTGGGCGATCCCCAAATGACCCATACGGGCACTTGTTTGCATTCCGTTATTAGTTTATAATCGTTATCAAATTTGAGCCGTAAGCGGTTTGCTTGTTGACACTGTGTTACGAGTAAATTAAACTACGGCACAACCTGAAAAGGTCGGGGATAAATTGCGTTTCTCGGCCTGGAAAATCTAAATTGCAGGAAGGAGGCACCGGATGTCACACAAAGATGACCTGGCACTGATGGCCCACCTGATGCGGCGTGCCGGTTTTGGCGCGAACCGCGCAGAGTTGGAGCGATGTGTTACTCAAGGTTACGAGGCCACTGTAGAAGAACTGCTGAACCCGTCGGAAGACCGCGAAGGCGGCAAGATGGCGCTGCTGCTGCGGTACCATCCCAGCTTCTTGCTCCCGGGCGGAGTTCCCTTCTCCGGCCAGGCTAACTGGATGTACAACATGATATCCAGCGACCGGCCCATGGAAGAGAAGATGTCCCTGTTCTGGCACCATGTGTTTGCCACCGGCAACTCCAAGGTCGACAACTGCGACCAGTTGCTGGAGCAGATTGACATGCTGCGGGAATTCGGCATGGGCAACTACCGCGACATGCTGGTCGAGCTGTCCAAGAACCCGGCCATGATTTTCTGGCTGGACAACAATGAAAACCATCGGGACGCCGTGAACGAGAACTGGGGGCGTGAGCTTCTGGAACTGTTCTCCCTGGGCGTTTCAAACTACACCGAGGTTGACGTTCGCGAGTGCTCGCGGGCCTCACCGGCTGGACAATCCAGGCCAAGCTGCCCCGGGCTCCCTACGGGCGCTACCCCTGGAAGTTCGCTTACCGCGATGAAGATCATGACTACGGTGAAAAGACGTTCTTGGGCGAGACTGGTGACTTCAACGGTGAGGACATCATCGAAATCATTCTGAAGCAGCCGGCCACCTCGCGCTTTATCTGCCGCCACCTCTATAACTTCTTCGTAGCCGACGAGCCCCAGGTTCCGGCCTGGACCATCGAGCCGGCCCGCGACGAAGACGCTCTGGACGAGATGTGCCAGATATTCGAGGACACCGGCTTCGAGATGCTTCCCGTCCTGCGCCACATGTTCAATTCCCAGTGGTTCAAGGACGCCCGCTTCCAGAAGATCAAGAGCCCGACCGAAGTGGTCGCCGGTACCCTCCGCATGGTGGGGCTGTACCAGAATCCGGATCCTGGCGTCATCAACATCGGCAAAGAACCCACCTACATGGGCCAGTCCATTCTGGACCCGCCTGTCGGTGGAAGGTTGGCACACCGGGTTGGAGTGGATTAACTCCGGCGCCCTGCTGGCCCGCATCAACTTCGTAGCCGATCGTGTTTCCGACCCCGAGCTGCCCGGCATGCGCGATATCATCGATGGGATGCGCAACGAAGGCGTGGAAACTCCTGACCACCTGCTCAATGCCTGCACGGACTACATGGGCTTTGTCGAGTTGAGTGAAGAGACCCGCGGCCAACTGGCCGAACACGTCCGCTCCGGCGGAGAACGTGGACTGGGCGGACTACGTTGGCACGGCCACCCGGGTCGGTGAGACGATGGCCCTGATCAGCGCCACCACCGAATTCCAGTTCGGCTAAATCAATGGCACATTGGGCGGAGCGCCGCACCAGACCTGACAGGATCAGTTGGTGCCGCTCCGTCCCGAAGCCTACCCACTAACCCAAGACTACACACAAGGAGCATACACAATGACCTCCACTAAAAAAGATCCGGTCATCGTGGTCCTGCAGCTCACCGGCGGCAACGACTATTTCAACACGGTGATCCCCTACAACGATTCGTCGTACTACGACAACCGCCCGACCATCCACTACAATCGGGAAGATATCATCCCGATTAACGACGAGTTGGGTCTGGCTCCCACCATGGGCCCCTTCAAGGAAATGTTTTGACGCGGGCAAAGTTGCCATCATCCACGGCATCGGCTACGCCGACAGCCCCCGCTCCCACTTCCGCAGCATGGACATCTGGCACACCTGTGAGCCGGACAAGGTTGGCACCGAGGGTTGGGCCGGCCGCGTCGCTCGCGAGATGGACCCGGGCAAAGAAAACGTCCTGACTGCCATCAACTTCGGCCACGGCCTGCCCCGTGCGCTGGCCGTTCCCGGCGTTCCGGTAGCAGCCATCGCCGACCTGAGCACCTACGGCCTGCTGACCGGTATTGAGAATGTTGACCAGCGGTCCAAGGCCCTGGACCTGTTCTCGAAGATGTATTCGCCCACTATCGGCGGCAGTTTCGTGAATGACTACCTGCGCTCCACCGGCACCGACGCCATGATTGGCGCCGATATCGTCAAGATTGCGCCGGAACAGTATTCCAGCAACGTGGAATATCCCAACAGCCCCATCGCCCATCACCTCCGCGACATCGCGCAGGTTTTACATGGCTGACCTGGGAACCAAGATTTTCTACACCCAGCATGCGAGCTTCGACACGCACGCTGGTGAGGCCGCCGCCCACCCGCAGCTGTGGAAGGAAGTCTCTGAGGGCATCAGCGCCTTCTTCCAGGACATGAAGGAGCACAACACCGGCGAGAACATCGTTATGTACATGTTCTCCGAGTTCGGCCGTCGTGTCCGCGACAACGGCTCCGGTACCGACCACGGCGCAGCCGGCGCTGCCTTCGTCATTGGCGACCCGGTCCAGGGTGGCTTCTACGGCGAGTACCCGTCCCGGAAGAACGAAGACCTGGAACAGGGCGACCTGGTTCCCAACTACGATTTCCGCGGCGCTTACTCCAGCATCGTTGAAGACTGGCTCGGCATGGACGCCAACCCCATCGTCAACGGAACCTTCCCGAAGCTGAACGTTATCAAGAAGTAAGGCTTCAGGCTCAATGAGTTCGGTGGTGGCGCAACCGAAGGGCAGCGCCACCACCGTGGCCTAAAAAATCGAATTTGGAGGAGTAACTATGCCTCAGAATACCGTAGCAAGCGGTCGGGCATGGCTGTACGTGAAAAACGTCGGCCGCCAGGGTCAGGTGGGCATGGGATTCAGCCAGCCGGTAGGCGTAGTAGCCTTGCCGGACGGCGTAATGTATGTCGCCAGTCGGGGCGGTGAGCAGAACCCCAGCGCGCGCATCACTAAATGCACAATCGGCAACGTTGAGGGCAAGGGCGGCGAGGAGTTCCTGGGCGAATTCGGCCGGGAAGGCGCCGCTTATCAGTCCAACTCGAGGGGTCTGTTCGAGTGGATCACCGGAATCGCTGCCGATGCCGGCGGTAATGTGTACGCTTCCGACGAGTGGAAAAACCAGGTTTGCGTGTTCGACGCTGACGGCAACCTGATCAAGCAGTGGGGCGAAAGTGGAGACGACGAAGGCCAACTGAAAGGCGCGGCCGGCCTGGCTTTCGATGCCGACCAGAACCTTTGGGTAGTTTCAGCCCACACCAGCCGGGTTCAGAAGTTCAACAAGGACGGCGAGTTCCTGGGCGGCTTCGGCACCAAGGGCAACGGCCCCACCGACCTGGAGATGCCTTCTGGAATCGGTATCGACAATAGCGGCGACATTTACATCGCTGACTGGGGCAATCACCGGGTGCAGAAGTTCACCCCCGGTGGCACCCACCTCTCCACCTTTGGCAGTCGTGGCACTCGCTCTGGCGAGTTGAACCACCCACTGGACGTTGACATCGACAATGAAGGCGACGTTTACGTGGCTGACTGGCTCAACGAGCGAGTCGTGATTTACGACGCCGACACCCGTCCACTGGCCTACCTGGAAGGCGACGCGACCGAGGTTTCCGAATGGGGAGACCTCTCGCTCAACGCCAACCCTGACATGGTCAAAGCCCGCCGCCGGGTCCCTGACCTGGAGCAGCAGCAGCGGACGTTCCGGATGCCGATGGGTTGCACCTTCGACCGGGCAAACAACCGCCTGCTGGTTTGTGACACCCTGCGTTCGCGGCTACAGATTTATCAGAAGGACGACTCGTACTTGGACCCGCAGTTCAACCTGTAGCCAGCACGAAATGTCCTGATCGATATCAGTGACTTTATCCCCGGGGAACCGGCGCTACCTCACCCCCAGCGCCGGTTCTTTTTTGTTCCGTTCGGCCTTCGTTAGTGGGAGTAGCGCAATGACGCGGCTACTCTGGCCGCCGAGCAACGGTCGCCGGGTTACAACTCGTGGGTGTGGCTGTCGTTGCCGCCGCCACGATTGGTAGCATCCGGTGGAAGGGTGATGATGGCGCGCCGATGCGTGCCGACGCCGATGGTACGGTCGCCGTCCAACGCTTCTACCTTGAAATAGAGCCAGCGGCCGTCAACCCGTTCCAGCTCTGCCACAGCCGTGACCGTTGCGCCAATGTCGGCACCGGCAACATGGCGGATGTTGACCTCGAATCCCACGGTGGACTGCTCGGCCGGCAGGTAGTCTAGTATCGCCCGCTGGGAAGCCTGTTCCATGGCGCGAATCATCGACGGAGTGCTGAGTTTCGCCACGTGGGGCGCCACGTTGTGCTCGCAGACCAGAACTTCGCGGCGGCCCACCAGGCCGGGCGCCAGAATGCCGTCGGTTGCGTCGGTTGGTTGGGTCATAGTGCAGGTAATCTCCGCTGGCCCGAAGGCAGCATAAAAATGGGTTGTGCTATCATATCAGTGCTCGTCGACGCTTGCCAGGCGATAGATAGCCGGGCCAGTTACCGCTCAAGGAATTACGCTTGTTTTTGTAGAATCCGCCGCAACATTTTGCTAATCCGGGTTCTCGGGTCTACCCGTTCTACCGCTGCCCAACGCGCACGGAGACTATACTGACGAAGTCCTGTTGACACTTTGGAAGATGTCCGCCGAGCTGGATTCTGATTTTTGACGCTTCCCATGGATGCCATGCGCCATTTCCTCTCCATCACAGATATCACGCCCGAGGAAACCCGTGCGTTGATTCAGCGTGCCATCGCGATGAAGGCAACACCTCCTGGGAGTATGCAACCACTGGCCGGCAAGCGCATTGCGCTGCTGTTTGAAAAACCTTCCCTTCGCACCCGCGTCAGCTTCCAGATTGGCATTGCCGAGCTGGGCGGGTACAGCATGTACCTGGGGCAGGATGAGGTTGGCCTCGGGCAGCGCGAGCCCGTCTCCGATGTGGCCAGGGTGCTCAGTGGATACGTCGATTGCATCATTGCGCGGGTCAACTCCCATGCGTCGTTGGAAGGACTGGCGGAGTACGGCTCCGTGCCAGTGGTCAACGCCCTCTCCGACCGGGAACACCCCTGTCAAACCATGGCCGACCTGCTTACCATCTGTGAAACCCACGGTAGCACCGACGGCCTCAACCTGGCCTATATCGGCGACGGCAACAATGTTGCCCGCAGCCTGTGTCTGGGCGCCCCGGCGGTGGGTATCAACGTGTCCATTGCCGCTCCCCACGGGTACCAGCTGGAGGAATCCACCCTCGATGCCGCCAGCGAGCGCGGCACCCGCCTGGACGATGGCGTCCGGCCAACCGTCCATCCGCTGGTGCGCCCGTCTGACGCGGTAATCGACGCCAACGTGGTGTATACCGACGTTTGGACCAGCATGGGCGATGAGGCGGAATCGCAACAGCGGCGGCGCGCCTTCCAGGGCTACACGGTCGACGACGCGCTGATGGCGCAGGCCGCGCCGGGAGCCTGCTTCATGCACGACATGCCCGCCCACTACGGCGAAGAGGTGCCCGAAGGAATGCTGGAGCACCCGCAATCGGTCGCCTACCAGCAGGCCCACAACCGCCTGCACGCCCAGAAGGCCGTGCTGGAATTTCTGCTGTCCTGAACCATCCGGCCGGCTCGCTGCCACCACGACACTCTCTACGTTCCAACCCCTCACCTGGGAATGATATGGCTACTATTGACAACCCCGCACATGACAACCCGGCAGAACCCATCGAATCGGCTATCGAGCCGGAGTCGATGCCGGTCCTCGAATCCCCCGACGATACCGAAGAACTTACGGGTCTCTCAATCGACGCGGAGCTGGAACTGACGGACGAGTTGGTGGACGAACTGGCCGATGAGTTCGCCGACGATGACGATGCCGACGATGACGATGCTGAAGAACCGGCCAAGTCGGCAGTCGACCGGGAGGCAGAGTTTTTCGCCCGCCCGGCCGAAAGACAAACCGTGGTCGAAACTGCGCCCATGGTGGCCATTATCGGTCGGCCCAACGTGGGCAAGTCCTCGTTGTTCAACCGAATTCTGTCGCGCCGCCACGCCATCGTGTCTGAAGTTTCCGGCACCACCCGCGACCGTCTGATTGCCTCCGCATCCTGGAATGGCCGGCAGTTCCTGCTGATTGACACTGGCGGTCTGGAAGACGACCCCGACGGCCACATCCCCCAGCGTGTGCAGCAACAGGCTGACATGGCGATGGGCGCCGCCGACGTCATTATCTTCCTTACCGACGCGGTGCAGGGACTGACCGCCACCGACCAGGCCGTTGCCCAGCGGCTTCGTCGCACCGACAAGCCGGTGATGCTGGCGGTGAATAAGGTGGACAACGAAAACCGCGAGCTGGCCGCTGCTGAGTTTTTCCAGCTGGGCATTTCGGAAACTTCGTTCATATCTGCCTACCACAACTATGGGGTGTATGACCTGCTGGAGCGAATGGTCGACTTGCTGCCAACCCGCGAGCTAGTGGAACAATGGGACGACGATTATCCAGATGGCGTCGACGATTGGGATGAACTCGATGGCGATGGCGCCAATGGACGTGCTGCGGAAGTTTTCACGCCGGCGACTGAGCTGCGCCTGTCCATTGTGGGACGCACCAACGTTGGCAAATCGCTGCTCACCAACGCTATCCTCGGTGAGGAGCGCAGCATCGTCAGCCCGGAGGCTGGCACCACGCGCGACGCTCTCGATACACCTATCACCTACCGCGACCACACTATCACCCTGGTAGACACCGCCGGTATCCGCCGCCCGGGTCAGGTGCAGCGGGGCATCGAGAAATACAGCGTGTTGCGCGCCGTTAACGCCGTGCATCGTAGCGACATCACGCTGCTGATTACCGACGCCACTGAGTTGGCCACCGCCCAGGACGCCCACATCGCCGGCCTGGCCTGGGATACCAACCGGGGTCTAATCGTGGTGGTCAACAAGTGGGATCTGGTTAATCCCAACCGGTTTCGAACGGAACGCAGTCTGCATCGGGTTCACCAACGGCTACACTTCATGCCCTACGTTCCGGTTAGCTTCACGTCGGCGCTCACTGGCGAGGGGATTAACGAACTGCTGGACACGGCGCTGTCATTGTGGATGGAACGGCAGCGGCGGGTTCCATTCCGCGATCTGCAATACCTGCTGGCAGATGCGGTCTCTACTCATGCGCCGCCATCACGCCGGGGCAACCTGCGCAACCGGCTGCGGGTGCGTCGGGTGCGGCAGGTCGGCGTGAACCCGCCCACCTTCGTGTTCAGCGTCAACGACCCCAAGCTGCTGCACTTTTCCTACGAACGTTACCTGGAGAATCAGATTCGGGAACGTTTCGGGTTCCACCGCACGCATCTGAGGCTGGTATTTCGGGCGGAACGGGAGGAACGCACGGCGCGGCCTGGGGTTCGTGCCCGCACCCGGGCCCGCTAACGTTCGTGCCTGCGCTGAGACTCAAACGACCCACCAGGGCGGCGCTGGTTTGCATCGTCGCTGTGCCGTTGCTGGTTATCGCCGGCATTGGGCTGCTGCAACTTTCGCCCCAACTTCCCTTGGCGGGCCGATACGTTGCGCTGTGCGTCGTAGCCTATTTGACCGGTTCAATTTCCTGGGGCTACATGGTGTGGTGATGGCCCGGGGCGAGGACATACGGGACTTTGGCAGCGGCCGCACGGGAATGTCCAACATACTGCGCACCGGCGGTGGCAAATCGGCGGCAGTCGTATTTGTGCTGGATTGCAGCAAGGGGATACTCGCGGTGCTGCTGGCCCGTTATACGATCGGTGTCGGCGCTCCCGAGTTGGTTGCCGGACTGGCGGTGCTGTGCGGGCACAACTGGCCGGTGTTTTTGCGATTCCGGGGAGGACGCGGCATTCTGCCCAGTCTAGGTACCCTGGCGGTAATGGCGCCGTGGGTGGCCCTCGCCGGCGCGGTACTGTTTATTATCATCACGTTGTCGAGCCGCTACCTGTCATTGGGCAGCATCGTGGGCGTCATGTTTATTGCGTTGCTGAGCCTGGCGCTAACCCTCTGGTGGGGGCATCATCAAATCTACACGGTGTACGTATTCGTGGGCGGCGCGGTCATAATCTGGCAGCATCGGGACAACATCCGGCGGCTGCTCAACGGCACCGAGCGCCGGGTGGGGATGCCCGGATTGCGTAACTAACTGCGGGTGGTGTCGATCGGCGAGCCCGGCCCTCTGTTACCGGGATAGGTGAGAGGGTTTAGCGATTTCTGCAGGATGGCGAGACTAGTCAATTCACCTCTCTCCCAACCCTCTCCCGTCAAGGGAGAGGGAGCTCTCAGGCGTACCCACTTTGTCATTGCGAGCGTAACGTGGCAATCTCGTCGTCGTAGCAACGGCGGTTGGCCGACGGGTGTTCAGCCTCATCGAGATTGCCACGTTGCTACGCTCCTCGCAATGACAGACTAACGCTACGCTGCTCGCAATGACAGATTAACGCTATGCCCCCCGCAATGACAGACTAACGCTATGCGCCTCGCAATGAGAGACTAACGCTATGCGCTTGGCAGGCGATGGCGGTGATGCTATGGGAACTGGCGCGGCGCAAGTGGTCGACGGCGTTGACGTAGTCGTTCTCGGCGATGGCGTTGCGGGCGCGCTGGAGGTATTGATGGCTGGTGGATTGGTGGTGGCTGATGGTTCCGATTGAGATTCTCCGATGGTTTAGATTTGTGATGGTTTAGATTTTGGGATTTAGGGCGAGGGGTTTCAGGTCTTGGTCGGCGATACGGCCAGGGGATGCAGATTATGTCCGAGGCTTCCATGTCCCGCGCATCGGGGCGGCGAACCAGATCCCGTAGTGATTGCGCGGCATGGGGCGGTGGTGACACCCGCTGTGCTTCGCGAACCGGTCCGGTGAAAGGCGGCGACGGACGCGCGAAAGCGTTGCAGAACCGACAGAGTTGGCCGTGAGACCTGAAACCAAATGCCCAATTTGAGATGTTGAGTCAAGCAGGGCGAGACGAGCGCTCGTTTCGCTTTCCGGATTGCCTGACTGGGTACAGGATACGGGGTTGGCGTCGGGTGGTGGAAGGGGCCGGGTGTCGCTGTTTTGGGCGGGGGTGGGCGCTTACGGTGGCGCGTTTTTCGGCGGGATTGCCGGGGGAAACTGTCCTTCGACAGGCTCAGGACGAACGGGGTTTGGGGTGCGGCCCTCACCCCCGGCCCCTCTCCCACGGGGAGAGGGGGAGCGGCTTTGCGGTGGGGCTATCCAGCGGGGGAGACCCTTGCACAAGGTGTCTTGGTGGGTGTCTAAAAAGAGCCTGGTGAATCTTGGGGGGGGAGGTGCCCGAGCTGGAATAGCCAACGCTACCCTGGACCCCGCCCTCTCCCACAAGGGGAGAGGGGGTTTTTTAGACACCTTTGGGCGGGCGGCGCTGACGACCGGTAACTCTCCCAGGGGGAGAGGGGAGCGGCTTTGCGGGTGGAGGTATCCGATGGGGAGACGGTTGCGCAAGGTGTCTTGGTGGGTGTCTAAAAGGCTGCTGGTGAATCTTGGTTGAGAGGTGGAATGTGGAATAGTGGGGGGACTACCCCTCACCCCAGCCCTCTCCCACAAGGGGAGAGGGAGTGTTTAGACACCCTCCTACGGTCTCACGCGTACCCACGTTGATCTGTCATGGCGAGGAGAATAGCGACGTGGCAATCTCGATTAGGTTGTAGATACGTCGGCGTACGGCCGTTGCTTCGGCGATGGGATTGCCGCGCTTCGCTCGCAATGACAACGTGAGTTCGCTTGAGGTTGTACACACTTCGACGTGCCGACGTTGCTTCGCGTCGGGATTGCCGCGCTTCGCTCGCATGACAACTGTGAGTTCGCTTGAGTTGTCCACACTCTACGACTACGTGGCCGACGTTGCTTCGGCGATGGGATTGCCGCGCTTCGCTCGCAATGGCAACGGGGGTACGAATGAGGTTGTAGATACGTCGATGTGCCGCCGTTGCTTTGGCGACGGGATTGCAGTGCTGCGCTCGCAATGACAACGTGAGTTCGCTTGAGGTTGTACACACTTCAATGTGCCGACGTTGCTTCGGCGACGGGATTGCCACGCTGCGCTCGCAATGACAACGGGGGTACGCTTGAGGTTGTAGACACGCCGACGCACCGCCGTTGCTTTGGCTACGAGATTGCCACGCTGCGCTCGCAATGACATTAAGGGGACATTCGAAAGGCCCTGCTTGGCGACCTGTTGCGCTTGACGCTGAATAGGGTTTTCGGATACATTGCGGGCACTATCGTGAAATGGACGGCGTAAGGGGTTCGTGCTGGCTGGTGCCGTGCGGCTCTTTCGGCGTGGACAGTTGTTAGGAGCAAGTAATGGCCACTTTGCAAGACCGCTCGACCGCCGAGATGGAGCAGGCTGTACAGGAGGGGTTCGACCTGTCCTGGCTGCAAAAGATCAAGGATCAGATTCCCGGCGCTGCCGATGAGTTGGCCCACGACCCGACGCTCGCGGACAATACGCCTGACCTGCTGGACGAGTCGACCAACTTTACCCAGCGCACGCGTGGCGCTCTGCCACGGCCGGGCGTTCCCCAGTACACGGCCTACACCTTCCGCGACAAGAAGGAAGTCTGGGGCTACAACCTGACCAAGCTGTACCAGGAAGCGGTGTCGCGGCAATGGTCGTCGGCTACCGATATTCCGTGGGAGAGCATGCGCCCCCTGCCTGACGATGTGGAAGCGGCCCAGTGCCAGCTGGCCACCTTCTTTGCACAGGTTGAGTTCGTCGCTGCTGATGTTCCGGGCCGTTTCATCGCCCAGATGTCGCCCGACTACCACGAAGTGCGAATGTTCCTGCTGACCCAGGTCATGGACGAGTCCCGCCACATGGAAGTCTTTCGCAAGCGGGCCCTGTCCAACGGCGGCGGGCTGATGCGCATGATCGACTCGGTGAGCGACGTTACGGGCGGCAGCACCGACAACGCCCGCGAGTTTACCGAAATGTCCAGCCGTCTGCACATCGTCGGCGAAGGGAACGTGCTGACGCTGTTCCGCCTTGGCGAGTTGATGGCGTACAACGATGCGGAGAAGGCCATCTACCGGCGCGCCGCACAGGATGAGGCTCGCCATGTAGCCTTCGGCGTGCTGCACGCCCGCTATATGAACGAGTGCGCGCCCGAACGTCGTGAGGAAATCCACGCCTATCTGGACGAGGCCGAAGACCGGCAGGCCACCGGCAACGGCGGCGAGAATCCGGCGGCCCGCGGCGCCAACCTGACTGCCGAATCCCTGGCTATCCTGCTCGGCGGCGGGGCTGACAAGGCCGATGAAGGACAGAAGATTCTGGCGGCCATCCGCCAGCGCCAGGTGAAGGAATACTTCCAGCGCCTGAAGTCCTGCGGCTTCGATGATCGCATCGAAAACGGCCGGGTCAACCCGGCGCTGCTGGAGGCCTACCAGGCGGCGCCGTAGCTCAGGCAAACCCAACGCGAAACTGCCACGGCCCGTCTGACATTGTGTAGGCGGGCCGAAGCGTTAAACTCCGAGCCACCGGCTGCGAGGGAAAATGTCTACTCAGGATCATGCTCAAGATGGCGACGGCCCTAGTCCTGCCGATTCGGCTGCCGACGACAGCAACCCCACCGGCAATTACCGCTCATCGGCCGCCGAACAGGTGCAGCAGACTGTGGCAGACCACGAAGAACCGGCGGCGGCCCCGGAGGACCCCATTACGGTCGCCGAGGACCCGGTTGCCGCGACTCCCCTGGAACCCAGCGAACGCTACGCCTGGATGAAGGACACCCGCCAGTGGGGCGTGCGCGCTCCGGTAACCGCTCTTGGGTTGACCATCGAGGCCATTAACATTGGCGTCTACGGCGAAATACCCGACGAGAGCCGGGAGATGACCCGGATGCCGCGCGGTTCCTTCGCTACGCCCGGCCTGCCGCGACTGGACAACTACTCGGTGAACCGCAAGGAGGAGTTGTGGTCGGAAAACGCACCAGCCCTCTATGAAGAGGCGATCCAGCGGCGCTGGGTGGCCATGCAGGACATCCCCTGGGATGAGCTGTCATCGATGCCCGAAGCGCTGGAGCTGGCCTGGTGTCAACTGTGCACCGAATTGGGCCACTATGCCATCGCCGAGACGGACACCATCGGCCAGTGGCTGCACCGAATGAACTATGCCTACATCGAGCCCAAAATGTTCCTCGCCACCCAGGAGTTCGACGCTGGTCGGCATAGCGAGGTGATGCGCCACCGGGCCCTGTCCAACGGCGGCACGCTGGGTCTGGAGTCTCCGGGCATGTTGAGCCGACGGATGATGGAGACCCGAGCCGGATGGCCGGAAACTGCGGTACCGCTGTACATGGCCCGGGGCCTGCTGACGATGCTGCTTTACCGGTTCGGCGCGCACTACGCCATGAATCCGGCTGACCGCAAGATTTTCAGCCTGGGCCTGCAAGACAAGGCGCGCCACCTGGCCTATGGTCAGGGGTTTCTGAAGTTCTCGGTGGCGTTGCAGGGCGCTGATTTTGCCACGTCGCTCCGCCGCACTCTGGGTTCCATCGAGAAGGATATGGCCGGCGAGATGAAGGACCCGGTGCTGTGGGAGGCGATGGCGATTATCGCCGGCGGCTCGGTGTCGGAAATGAAAAACGGCATGGTGGCGGTGCGACGCCTGCGCGCCGATTACATCAGGCAGTACGTGGCACGCCTGCGCTACGTGGGCATTGGCAAGCAGGAAAGCGCGCTGCACCCGGAATTGATTGAGGTGATGCAGGGGCCTTAGGGATGGGGGTCGCCCCTCACCCCAACCCCCCTCTCCGGTGGGAGAGGGGCTTTTTGTTGCTGCGGGGGGAAAGCGCTGGATCCGAAACTGATTGAGGTGATCCAGGGGCTTAGGGACGGGGTGCGGCCCTCACCCCAACCCCTCTCCCGATGGGAGAGGGGCTTTTTTGTCGCACATGAAAGTGGGTGAAGCTTGGGTTATGGCTTGAGCAGGAGTTTTCCGAAGAAGTTGGTGGCTTCCATTGCCTGGTGGGCTTCAGCGGCGTTGGCGAGGGGGTAGACCTGGTGGATAGCCGGGTGGACGACGCCCCGGTTCAGGCTGGACACGATCTGGCGCATGTCCTCTTTGGAGCCCATGTAGCCGCCGTAGATCTCAATCTGGCGGCTGAACAGGAGGCCGAGGTGCAACTCGGCGCGCAGCCCGCTGGTGGCACCGCAGATGCAGTAGCGGCCGCCGGGTCGCAGGGCGCGGAACCCCTGCGCCCACACATCTGCGCCCACGTGATCAACCAGCAGGTCGACGCCGGCCCCGCCGGTTATCTCGCGCACCCGCTCGGTGACGTCTTCCTCGTTGTAGTTGATGACATGATCGGCGCCGAGATTGCGCGCCAGTTCGGCTTTCTCGGGGGTGCTGGTGGTGGCGATGACGTTGGCGCCCACGACGTTCTTGAAGACCTGAATCGCCGCCGCGCCGACACCGGCGGAGGCGGAGAAGACCAGGGCAGTCTCCCACGGCTGGAGGGCAGCGCGGCGCACCGCCATGTTCCAGACCGGCAGGTAAGTCGTCGGCACGGCGGCGGCGGCCTCGAAGGGCACCGACCCTTCCAGACGGTAGGCGTTCACCTCCGGCACGGCCACCAGCTCGGCGTAGCTGCCATCCCGCGCGGTGCCGAGGAACCTGCTGCGTCGGCAAAGCTCATCCCGACCCGAACCGCACCACTGGCAAACACCGCAGGCGATGCGGGGGGTTGACGACCACGCGTTTTCAACCGACAGCGTGCTCACTTTGGCGCCGATGGCAACCACCCCGCTCGCCGCGGTATCGCCGCCCAGGGGATGGGTTGGGGTTGGGGGTGGTTTGGTTGGGGGTTTGTGGTTTTTGTTGTTTTTGTGTGGTGTTTTGTGGTGTGTTGGGTTTTGTTTTGTTTTGGTGTTGGGGTGGGGTTTTGTGGGTTTGGTTTGGGTTGGGGGTGTGGTGGGGTGGTTTGTGTTTTTTTTTTTGTGTGGTTTTTGTTTGGTTTTGTGTTCCTTCCCTCGGATCAGTGGCGTTGTAACCCCTTTCCAGCCGCGCTGTCCCTGGCGCTTAAAGGATGTCCAGGCGGTTCAACCGCTGGCGTGCCCCCGGAACGACCACATCTGCGGTCCGGTGTGGGATTCGGTGGGCGGTCGCCGTATTGCAGTACCTCCACGTCCCCGTGGGCTTCGATATAAACGGCCTTCATCGGTAAGCTGCTCCTGAGTGTGGCTGCCCTGGCGTTGCGGACGCGCGAGTGGGGCGCGCGCTCGCGTAGATTGACGTGGCTAAATCGCGGGGCGCGGTTGTCGTAGCAATCCTGCAGAGAAAACCACCGCCAGCGTCTCGTCGTGGCGGGTCCGCCTGGCCACAGCGGGCACGTCGCGGTCTGCGCCAGGGCTGATGAACGGCCCGCCGCACATCTGGCAGGTGGAGCGGCGGGCCTCCAACTCCTCGTGCAGACCACACAGTATGCCGGGTCTCGGGGTGAGTGCACTTCGAAACGGTTACACTGCCTAGGCACTACCTCCATCCACGTAGATTCCGAGTGAGATTCATTCGTTCGAGCGCCAGGGTCGGCTAGTTGTTCTTCATCGTGCGGTTTCGTGCGCGTTTCGCCAATCCAGACGCGCCCGTCGCGAGGGCACAGCAACGAACGCGCCGACCGCCGGGCCCGTGGCACTCGGCCCAGAGCCAGCGGCGGTCGGGCGCGCGCAGCAGGGCGGCACCGTCCACCATCCGCCAGATACATCCTGATTCGTTCCGACGCCGGCGCAGGCCAGCACCGTTCCCGCCCCTGCGCCCGATCGCGTCGGGCGACAAACCGTCCAGTCAGCGCGCACAGGCGTCGATGGCGCTGTACCTTTGTCCGCTGCCAGGCAAGGCAGGAGTCGTAGGTCAAGGTGGCGGTGTCGCTAGCTAACGTCTCGTTTGCCAAGTCCGTGGAGTGTGAGGTGCGAACGACTGCCCACGTATGATCCGGTCGACTCTGCAGCTGGCACCAGCGCCGCAGCCAGGCCAACGCGTTTGCGGGGCCTTACCAGAATCGTAATGCAAACGCCATAGGCAGTGCCAGTTACGAGACGGAACCCCAAAACAACATACCATGAACATACTGGGTGCTTGTGCGGGGGGACAGGGAAACACACAATGTGAACTGTGTGTAACTGCTCGCTGCAACGTGCTGTGATCGGTTATGTAGTATACATGGTGACACGTGGATGTGTCGAGTCGCGGACTCTGTGGCGGCAACCAGAAAGTTCATGCGGAGCGGTAGGCCATATAGCGAATAAGAACGCAACGGACAGGGCAACGCTCGAGAATAACTTCAGGTAATACGACGAAAAGAGCCGAGGTGGTATCAGGTACAGCAATCAATAGAGAGAAAAGAGAAGGCGGAACGGCAAACCGAGTCGTGCTCGTAATCTGCAACGGGCGCAGCGAAGATGCGGGGTCGGATGTAGCATCACGAAACACTTCCAGAATTACTCTATGTGCGAATGGGGTATAAACCAAAGTGGACATGAGAATAAGCGAAGAAGGACGTACACAATGTTAACGGAACAACGGGGCGCACCAATACCGGGGGTGGGATGGTCAATTACACGGATGTTTGTCGCGAGAGGAGGGGGTGGACTCGATGGCACTGCTGACTACAGAAACGAGACGGGCCGATTATGATCTTAGTCCACGGTATGAAATCAAGACATTGAACGGTGCACAATGCGGTCATGGCAGAAAAAGGGGTGGGCTGAGAAAATGCCTATGGCGGTTTACCACCGCCGGAAAAAGGGGCCGAGCGTAGTTCGGGGAGATAGGTTTCAGCGACCAGGCGGTAGGGACGCAGAATCAACGGTGCAAAAGTGCAGCGGGGCGCTACTACTCGTAGGCGCGTGCCGCAATCTGACAAGTTATGTACGGGATTAAGACAGGCTTGCGTCCGTGTGGTGTGTACATGGTTGGTGCCAATAAAGCTGTATGTGTCGCCACAAGTGAGCGCGGTGGGGAGCATCCCCAACTACGGACATATGTGCGGAGATACGTTTCGGGAAAAGGAGAGAAGAGGAAAGAAAGAAAAGAGAAAAAGGG